TATGCAAATTGCGCTCCACAATTTGCGTACCTTTTTCCGGTAGTTTTTTCGGAAGAGGCTTTACCAAAATTTGGCCCATCTATACTGGGTCAAATTTCAAAAAATCCTCCTCTTTCAGAAGAGCCCTTCTTCCTCGTGGAAGGAGGAAAACAGGGCTTCCGAAAGAGCGCGTCTGCTCTTCTGCAAAAAAAAGCAGAAGAGCAGATGCATTCCCTGGATGCGGAGGGGTTTTTCTGTATCTCGGAAGAACCCCATAGTACATAGTTGGGTGGTATAAACTCCTGTAGCTTCAAATTAAGCCCTTTCAGACCTTATCTCAGTATCCTTAATGAAGGGAAGGGTTGTTAGTCCCTATAGTGGACATGGCAATCTCTAGATCATAGGTTCCCAAACTGGGGAGTGCACCCCTCTTGGAGGGCATAAAGAAATTCCGGGGAGGTGTGAGGTGACCCAGCCCCTTCCTCAATCCCCCTTCCCCCAAGAAAGAGCCTGCGCTGGCATTACCTCCTGCAAAAATGGCAATAGCACCAGCTTCCTGCAGCGTGGGGGGTGGAGTCCCGCAGCTGCAAGCCAGAGCTGGCATCCCAGGAAGCGCATGCACTGTTTCACTGCCCCAAACAGCTGGCATGCTTCCTGAAACGTTGGGTCTGTTGTGTACCAGCGACTTCCTTCTGTCTGCTGTCTTCCTGCACATGTCTTCAGACAACAGTTAAAATCCAAGTGATTAACTGAATCTACCCTACAGGCCTAGATTTTAGCTGCTCGTATGTGGACACATGGGTTGAAGTAGGGAAGAGGAGAGGGCACATGAAAAAATGTCTCCCCTTTCCCTTATGCATCTACAGCCAGAATCTTGATGTTTTTTCAATAATTGCAGGAGGTAAGTGAGTGTAAATACTAAACACCCCAAATAGGGCAAGGTCTTTATGGCCAGGGTCCCATTTCCATTCCAGCTGGAGCCCAGTGCTGGGGAGTGCTCAGTGGATTATTGAAAGGGTTCGGGCGTTTATGCCCCTGTAGGTATTCTGTTTGTCTCTGTTCTTCACAGGTAGAAACTTTCCAGACGCCATTGCTGATTTGATGTAACTCCATCCCCACTCTAAGGCACCCATAGCTTTTAAAACCACAGCGTAAGCCCACTCTCAAACTTGGCAGATAATTTGCATTTGAAGTAATTTAATCTGTCCTTAACCATGAAATCACTTGGAAAGTTTTGTCAGTCCACAGCCTGGCCCATTTGCTGGCTGTCTCAGCAGCCTTGTTAGATTCTTGCCCCTGGAGAAGTAATCCTTCCAGTAACACAGAATTTTAGGTACTCAGGCAGTACACTAATGGCAGTACACATGTAAGTAGGTAGCTAATTAATTGATTATAGATAGGTAAGTTCATTGGTGACAGTGGGAGAACTCAAAAGAGTTGAGTTTAGATACCACCAGTAGAACTATTAGTGGCAGTCAGGTTTGTATGCTTCAGTCCATATCTAATTAAGCCTCAGAATTTTTTCTTTTATAGATACATTTTTAAAGTTTTGTACTCCATCCAGCTGGTAGCAGGGGTTTTTGCAGGAGTCTGATCAAGTCTTAAAGCATCAAGCTATTTGACACAATGCAGAAACAAATGTCAAGGAAGCATTTATGCATGAAGCTGCTGACTAACTGGAGTCCACCTTTCCTTCAGTTTACAGATCATTATCTTTGTGCAGGCCTGCTCCTTAGGGCTCTGCAGCCAGAATGGTTCTCCTATCATCTGCTTGAAAGGGATAAGGGAATCCCTAATCTTGCCCCATGAGTGGCAGGGGGAAGGAATGTTGGGCTAGGGAAAAGGGCAGCGCATTTTGGCTAGGTCTACACTACAGCTTTTTCCAATTTTTTTTTCGGAAGAGGCTCTTCTGAAATTTGGCCCGTCTACACTGGGCCAAACTTTGGAAAATTCCCCTCTTTCAGAAGATCCTTTCTTCCTCAAGGAATGAGAAAGACAGGGCTTCTGAAAGTACGTGTTTGCACTTCTGCAGAAAAAAGCAGAAGAGCAAACATGTTCCCTGGACCCTGTAGTCCGAATTCTTTTATTATGCTCCAGTAATTGTCAGAATGAGACACACGCTTCTGGACCCACTTCCACTGTAACTTTTCCAAGTTGCTGCCTCAGGGAATGGGATCTGAAGCAGCATGCTCACGAGACAGTTTTGAAAGTATAATTTTTAATAGCCATTTCAAAATCCCCGCCATATGTGGTTTTTGGAATAATGGAGGGGATTTCCTCAGCTGATCCTGAAGAAAATCCATATAAAAAGGAAACCAAAATTACATGAGTGAATGTTTTTACTCAAGGTAACTGCTATGTATTGATACAATATCATTCATGTTAGGCACAGCCATCACACGCCATCAGTTGTCCTAATCATTGTGAAGGAGCTTAAAGAGTCATTGAATGAGTGGCTGGATATGATTTGTACACTGGTCTGCCTTAAAGACAATAATTAGTTAATTACTACTTTAATAGGCCTGATTCTCCCCTTTTAAAATGTGGCAAGTCACTAAAGTTAAAGGATTTATACTGGAAGAATCAGGCCTCATATTTTTTTAGGCTTAGGCATTCCAGTGTAACCCCAACTCAAAGATTACTGCTGTATGTTGATAAAGTATAGGTGCCATGTTGGTAGGAATGTCTCATACCAAAGGAGAAGCCAGGATTCCATTCCATCTCTGTCCCTCTTTACACACTAAAAAAGGTTGGGCATGCAGCCACCATTTTTTTTCCCACAGAAAGGAGATCTAGGGTGATTGGATCAGGGGTAGGTGGAGAGAGGAAGGTGAAGAGAGACCTTATTCCCCTGTGCAACGATCCATGAGGTTAGACAAACCATCATGAATTTGAAGATGTCATATTTTCAATTTAATTTTTGTTCCAACAAGACCTTTTAATTGTTAAAATTATTTTGGAGACCTATTCAACAGGTTGAGAGGTTGCCTTTTTTTTAAGGGCTTGTCAAAATTAGCAGATGTCTAATGAAAAATAACATGCTTTATTAATTCAAATACACAGACATAATTGAGGGAGTTTTGTTTCTATCTACTTGGGCCCTCTTTACAAATGAATATATGTTAGAATGGATACTACAGAAATAATACATGATCTTTTGTATGCTTACTTTTTCCTTAACCATCCTTAATCACTAGATACTTGGTTACACAAGTATCAGGTAGTTAAAGTAGTGTTAAGGCATAGGAAAAAAATCCAAGAATATCAAAAGTCAATTTCTGCTTAAAGTCTGTGGAAACTGAGGGTGTTCAGCATGTCCAAGGCTCAGTTCCTTTTGAATAAGCCATGAAAAAGGATAAAATCTCCATTCACTAGTGAAACTGAGAACTGAAACAAACAGCATTTTCCTCAAACATAAAGCCTTGATAAAGTATTGTGCTCAGAATCAACAAATGAGAGGAATGTATAAATACATTAAAACAAATATCTCTATAATAAACAGGGTTTGTTGGAGCACTTTTGTCAGAACACCTTCATCAAAATCTGCTGTTTCATAAAAGATGAAATCACTTCTCAGAGGTGTAGAGATGTTTATGTAATTTTTGACAGCGAAAATTTTGAGGCCCAAGATGGCAACTCTGGTTGACACCAAAGAGAGAAGGGAAGCTAAAATCTGACATTTTCAATTCCAGTGGACATTTTGACACAATTTTGATTCTCAAAATTTTTGATTCTCAAAATTTTCGATTCTCAAAATTTTCAAATTATTCTGTTTTCATTCCAGTTTGAAAAAAAAAAAACCCCTTCAAATGCTGAAACCTTGGAAGTTGTCACAAAATGAAATTGTCATCCTTCCACTGATTCTAAATATAAATTAAATAGATGTATGTGTAAACAGTCATCTTAAGGAGTCAATCCTACACACACTAAAATCAGTGGCAATACTTGCCTATCAAAAGAAATAGGAGTTGACCCAGTACAGCACGTCATAGCCTCCATCTGCTCAACTTCTAAGATCAGTTAATGTTAACTGAGTTGGCTGCTCTATGTATACCACTGCCATCTACTGGCTAGAGTAAGACCTGCGTATAGAATCATAGAATACTAGAAATGGAAGGGACCTTGAGAGGTTATCGAGTCCAGTCCCTTGCCCTCAGGGCAGGACACAGTACTCTCTAGATCATCCCTGATAGATGTCTATCTAACCCATTCTTAAATATCTCCAGAGATGGAGATTCCACAGCCGCCCTAGGCAATTTATTCCAGTGTTTAATCACCCATTGTGTGTTTGTAATCCTGGCTAGATTCCAATCTTACTGTTTTACAAAAAGATTACTCCTGATTTATAGTGATGTAAAGGTGGTCAGAATTAGGCCATAAGTTTCAAGGGGCTGGTCTTACAAAGTTAGTTACACTTTCCCCAATACTATTTATATTGTGACTCAGGAAGAGATCTGTGGCTTTGGAGCAGGTGATGAAGAGTTTTGTTGGTTAATGTGCACAGTATAGCTGCACAATGATTATGTCAGTATATGAATGTGTGGATGTGCTGTGGATTTTATTAAAATGGATGTATGAGAAGGGCTAAGACTGTCAAGGCCAGGAAGAGAAAACAACTTTAGAGTTAAATTCAGCACAGGTTTGTACTGGCAAAGCTTTAAAGGTGGAAAATCTAACAGTGTGACACTAGGGGAAGAGGGAAATATCATGGGAATGGAAAGCAACCACAACTTCCCTTCTGGCTGTCCCACTGAAGAACAGTTCATCTCAGGAAAGAGATGTGGGGTGGCTAGAGATGCATGGATGTTGTGCACTGGAGGCCCCAAAGGATAGACTAAAAATGGTTGCAGAACAAAATCACCTGCCCTGTCTCCTTCCAAGAGAGTGGGATGGCAGAGCGAAATGTAACATACAACCTCCATGCATGTGCTTTGGTAAATCCAAACAATGACAAGGAGAGTTCACTGCTGGTGAAAATGTCATTGCAGTCAATGTTTTGTGCCTGCTTCTGTCAATGGTGAATTTGGCTCAAACAAAATATTAATATGAGGAAGATTAAGGGGAAAATAAACACAGAAGAGCATTATTTATCCTTTTAGTACACTATTTTAATTTTCAACTGAAATAACTGTAAACAAATTGCTAATACCATCAATATTGGTATGAATTAGAAGGAAAAAATGTTCACCAAATTTTCAAATTAGGAATTATACAAAATGTCTGTGATCCAGGAAAAGCAAGTTAGAGGAATGGGGAAAAAGTCCAGTACAGGAAGAACAGAAAACACAGTCAACTCTTATAGCCCTGGGTTAGGGCTAATGAGAATTAGGTGATGTAACAATAATTCCTTATGTAAAAAAAAAAAGGAAGTTCTTACCATAGCTTGAATAACACTGACAAAAAACATGATCAATGCAAGATCAATGCAAGATGAGCAAAACAAAAACAAAACAAAACAAAAAATCCCAAACAAGTGTGTTATCTCAAAATTTAATCTTTAACTGGTAACTGGGCGTAACTCCTGTATATTAACAATCTGAAGAAATTAAATCTGTAGGCTATTGTAAGTATGAAATATTTTAACAATAAAGTAGGAATGGTGGACTGAACTGATCAATTCTAACACTCCAATTTCCCCCCCTTTTTAATTTTCAAAATAAAACAAAAAAACCCAAACCAGACAAAAAAACCAACCCCTTAAAGACAAGCAAACAAACCAATCAAGAATGGCTTATTTCTTTCCATGCTGGAAATCTACATGGGCTATTCCTCTGTCTGAAAAAAAATGATGCTAGTGTCACTCTCTTTGCACAAAACTGGGTACTGAGCAAAAGTTTATTGTAGTAATGTGATTAAATTTTGCTCTGCTTTCAAGAAATGCAACAACAAATAATAATAAAAACCACAGAAAGAACAAAGTTAAGTGAAAAATCTCTGCTGCCTTCACAGCATTGGGTTTCTGTGGAATTGTCTTGTGTAACCTGAGAGGTTTTGCAGTTCCTGATGATTTTCAGGCAACTGCAGATTAAGGGTAAGATTCACAGAGATTCCCCTAAGACTGGTTACTTAACAACACTGCATTGAACCAATATCAAACTAGAACAGGATCTCATTCCAGGATCTGGACTGTACCACTGAAGTCAATGGGAGATTTACTACTGACTTCAATGGGAGCAAGACTGAGCTCAGTGTATTTGAATCTGTAAGAACAGAAGCAGCAAACATCCTGGGTCTTGCATCATCACAGAGAGTGATACTCCTTGAGTAATCTATCTGCTAGAGTTGCAGAACTTCAAAGAAAGACTGTTCATAACCAGCAAACTTGTTTTCCACGGGGTTTTGCAGGAATGGAATGCAAAACTACCTGAGTTAATGCTACAGAGTTGATGCTGCAGCATATGCCATAGGTTTCCTGGTTCTAACTGGTCTCTGTCCATTTGTGCTCCCTTAATATCTGCAGAGGCCTTACACAGAGAAGTTTTCACAGGAGCAGAAGGAAGGATCATACAGCTGCTACTTAGGCTTCACTGCCCTTCTTTTTGATAGCTGTTTTCCCATTTGAATGTTTTTTCCGATCTTCATTTTGTCCATTGCAAAAAAACAAGAGGTGATCTGGTCCTAAGTAGCAACCAATTCACAACATTCTACAGATTTTTTTTTTATTAAATGCAATTGTTTTGGTCCTCCTTGCATCATTAATTTTCACTCTCGAAATCAGAAATGAGGTTGCTTTCTTCCAGAGCTAAAGAGTCAGAGTTAGTTTGTGAATAATATGGATTTCTGAACCATCGTATTCTAGAGAAGAGACTGCCATTCTGTCTGTACAGGCACCATAGAAATGTAGAAATAGCAGCCACCATCACCAGTGTCACCATTACAGCGAGAGCTATGATCTGATGGTATGATGCTAAAAGGAAAGAAGCAGCAGAAGAAAAGTTCTATAACAGTGAAAGAAAGTCACACTATACAAATACAGAAAATATTTTAGCTTCAGTATTTCTGATTAAAAAGATAAATGTATCACATAATAGAATTTACCTTTTACAGTTTGCACTGTTTCAAAGATATCTGAAACAGAATCCAAAATTAGCAAGAAAATTATTCAGGCAACTTATAAAAGTTAACATACATGTTTAGTGTATAGTTGCTACTGGGGATGGGGGAGAGGACATATTTATAACAAAAATGGGCTGTCCCTGATTTAACTATTGATGCCAATGGAGTTACACCACATTGGAATAAATAAGACATATAGTGTCATTTTAAATTCTTTCACATATCCAAGTACATGGGAGATAAGAATGTTCTAAATACAAAGGAGCTAATATTCAAGAATGCTCACTTACAGTTTGATTTGCTTCCACTGAAGTCACTGGATTTTTGCCATAGGTTTCAGTGGAAGTAGGATTGAGTGTCTACTACATGAGGATTATCAGGGTCTCATACTTCTAAATCTTTTTTTATTCATACACTGGAAAGATGGTCTTTTGGTTAAGAAAGCAGGCTGGGAATACGTAAACGTGAATTCTATTCCTGATTCTCACACGAATTTCCTGGGTGACTGTGGCCAAGTCCACCTCTATCAGGGGAAATAACATTTACACACCCCTAGTGAAACAGTGAGACTAAATTCATTAATATTTGTGAGACACATATACTGTGGAGTGCCATAGAAAAGTCTATGCATAAATACTTGGGTATAATTTTCAGTCATCCATTTTATCAATGTCCAAACTGTAGCAGTGTGAAATCAAAGATTTAATTTTTCTGTTTGCAACCTGCCTTATGAGTCAGCTACTTCATGTGGAGAAAACTTAGAAGATTCTACTGCTTTCCCCAAAATATATATGATGCAATGTAATGTTTGGGCTCTTTTTTTTTTGGTACAAAAGAAGCTGGCAAAATTATCACAAAACTTTATTGTTCCCATCACATGATGATGAAAAAGGTTGTGATATTTACTCAATATAAAAAAAAATTCACATCAGACAAGCAGAGGAGAACCATTACACAGGGCTGGCTTATGACTAACTAGCAGGCCTAATGATGATTTTAGTGCTTTTGGGTGGACTTGAAAAGCAATTTTTTCAGCTCTGAAAGATGTAATGATTCCTAGTCCCTGTGTCTATAGAGTAGCACTGTGTGTCAGGCCAGACTTTGTACTTTGGGGAGGGTAAGTGAGGTAATTTTTTAGGCTGCCCTATATTTAACTTCATGTCACATAAAAAAAGAGAGGGGAAAATTTCTTAGGGTACATCTACACTGCATGCTTATTTCAGAATAACCTATTTCGGAATAGAATCTCCAAAATAACTTAATTTGAAATAGCGTGTCTACACAGCAAATGTCCATTGAAATAGCACTGAGCTAGTTTGAAGTAGAGTGTCCACACTCATTGGACACTGAATCGCATTTAAATTAAGGCCTCTCAAAAGCACTTCAGACAGGTTATCAGGACAGCACTTCCTGAGGCTATCTGAAGCTCGTGCTTAAAGGGACCCCACCATTCTGCCGTGTCTCACACTCTTCTCCTTTGCCTACCTCCTCGAGGGTCAGCAAAGCCTTTTCACTTCCTGCTCTGGTTGCCCTTGCAGACACCACAGCTCTCCCAGCCATGGAGCCTGACCTGCCTCCAAACAGTCGATGGCTCTTAGACCCCATGCCACACCTCCTGTTGCAGTTACTGCAGGCTGCCCTCGTGGCTCTGCAGGAACAGAACCCCCACAGCCCATTATGGGGCATGTCCTCTCTTCTCCATATGCTGCTCATGCAGCATTGACCCCACCCGTCCTTGCCTGCTGCTTCTGGCAACTGGACACCAGTTCTGACTGGTGGGACCATATTATCATGGAGCTGTGGGACGACCAGCAGTTGTTCCAGAATTTCCACATGTGAAAGAACATCTTCTGAAGCTGTGTGAATGGCTTGCCTCTACTCTCGTGTGACAGGACACCCACATGAGACTCGCACCCCCTCCACAAGTGGGTCGCCATCGCTATCTGGAAGCTCGCCATGCCGCACAGCTACTGCTCTGTCAGGAGACAGTTCGGTGTGGGGAGATTGACCGTTGTGGTCGTGATATGGTGCTCTCATGCTACTGTCCCAGGAAGGTGGTGAACTGCTGGAATGGGGTTCCCTAGGGAAGGGTGGGGGAGTGGTGGAAGCTCCTGTCCTGGAAGGGGTTTTCAGTCCCACCTTCACAAAGCCTTCTTGGGGGATGAGTAAGTAGGGGGTTGGTCCTGGTGTGCCAGGTGCGGGGACGGTTGGCTTCATGGACCTCCCGAGGGCCCTGGCAACCCTGTGATTCTCTGTTTGTCTCCTTCCATAGATGGTGAGGGCCATCAACACCATCCTACTGTGCTGGCTCATCCTCGGGCTCGTCACTGGATTTGTCACCATGAGCTTCTCCACTGGGGCTCCTAATAAATCAACAGGAATGCAGGCCGTCGTGGACCACCGAGGCTGGTTCACCAACATCAGTATCGAGTGGTCAAGGAAGGTGCATGACACCTGCAACTCCAGCCTCTAGGAGAAGATGAATGCTGGCACTTTTTTTCCCGATTGCACCATGAGGGTCGGGGACGTGGACATGCCAATGTGCATAGTGGAGGATGCCGCCTACCCTCTACTCCCCTGTCTTATGGAATCTTACACAGGACACCTTGACCAAAGCCAGAAACGTTTCAATGCCAGGCTTAGCAGGGCCTGCATGGTTGTGGAAGGTGCCTTTGGCTCTCTGAAAGGGAGGTTCCATTGCCTCCTTATCTGCCTTGACCTCGGTGAGCAGAACGTCCCTCAAATAGTTGTGTCCTGTGTCCTGCACAATATGTGTCAGAACAATGGGGAGACATTCCTGCCAGGGTGGGGGGGTCAAAGGCCGAGCAGCTCACAAGAGTCTTTGAGCAGCCGCATACGGCTGCCATCCAACAGGCCCATCAGGGGGCTGTGCGCATCTGAGAAGCCCTGAGGAAGAGTTTCACACAAGGACCCCAATGAGACTCCCCTCTGTGCATTGCCTCTCTGTGCCTTTCCTCCCCCATCTCCCCTTCCCCTGTTGAGAAAATAAAGCAGACCTTTAGTTTTGGAAACAAGAAACTGTATTTGTGGTTTAATTAAGGGAAAATGTAACTGGGGAAAGAACCTGAGAGGGAGGAGGCGGGGGAATTGAGGGGGAGGAGATGCTCAGGGATCGGGCTGGAAGTGGCGCCTTCCTCGGCTGGGAGTGGCACCTTGTGTACGGGATCCTCGGTGGTCACTGGGAGATTTAGGGGGCGAAGCCAGAGGGGCAGGAGCTGGGGCAGAACTGGCTAGCAGGCAGTCGACAGCAGTGGTGTAAACTATGCACATGGTGCAGGCCTGCTGCAAGAGCTTCTGCCAGGTGGTGCGGCACAGCTCCATGTCTGCCCCCAGAGACTGCTGCAGGCACGCAGGGCAACAGTGTGCTCCTGCTCCAGGTCCTCGTGGGCTCATCTGCAGCAGCGGTTGCCACGCGGTCAGGTGGCTGGCACGGGAGGTGTTGTAGGGGTCTCACTCGCAGCTGGTCCAGCTGTGAAGAACAAAGAGAAGGGCAGTCATCCCAGGACACAGGGTGCCTGAAGCCTAGCCCTCATCTCTGATGTTACACCAAAGGTTTCAGGCCAGATGAAGGCGATGTGCTTGGAGCAAGGTCATCGATGGCCTAGACAACGGGCCCCTTCCTGAAGGGGCCCAGTAGTCCCCAGGGGGAGCCTCACTACTTCCACGTTCCAGGGACAAGCAGGCATGGATGGGAGGGGGTGACAGGGGAACTCAGCTTCCCTCTGTGCCAGGCACGTTGCGGCATCCCACAGAACATGAAACCCTGCCCACTGGTGGAGGGGGCAGAGTGTTAGGGAAAGGTGCGACTGGGATCCCCTCCACTTCCTTCCCCTCCCAGCAGGCTCCCCTAACAGGCTCAGTGTCCTCTGCCTCACTGGGCTTGTCTAGGAGCAGATGCTTCCCCCAGAGTATGAGCCTGACCATATGCTGTGGGCGGCACTGTTGTGTGTGCGTAACCAGGACCCCACCCTCCTTAGTGGTGGCTTGCGGTGGGAGGGTGTCCCACCACAGGGCCAGGACTAAGGCAGGCCTGTGCAGGCACCCTGTAAGCAGGAGCCCAAGGCTCTTCTATGGCAGGCTCCTGGGGCTAAGTGCTCCGAACTGGCGCTCCACGTGCATCCATGTGCACAGAGAGTGAGGAGTGTGCAGCCCCTCGCCGCCTGCTGCCTCCCCCCAGGTGTGTCTAAGGACAGTCATGGAGCTCACCTGATGGGCCATCCGCTGTGTCGTCTGATCCCCGGGCAACATCCTGGGTGGGTGGTAATAGCTCCAAGGACGGGGTGAGATCCTGGCTGGTGGGTATTGTGGATCCAAAGGCCTGCTCCTCCTGCTCCTTTTCTTCACTTGCAGGTCTGCCCTCCAGGAGGGTAACAATGGGCGTCTCCCACCCAGAGTCCACAACCAAGGGTGGGAAGGGACTGACTCCCCTCCCAGGGTGTGGTGGATGGAGCTGGCTGTAATATTGGCAGCTCTGGGATGCGATCCCTGAGTGGGAGTTGTGCTCCCTAGCCTTGGTATAGGCCTGCTTGCGCTCCTTTACTTTCATCCACAGCTGCTCCTGGATGCGGATGTGTCCCCTGTGCCCCAGGCTGTTGGCCATCCAGCCATAAATGTCCACACTCCTACGTTAGGTGCAGAGGTCCTGGAGGTTTGCCTCCTCTCCCCAGATCTCAGTGAGATCCAGGATCTCCGCATTCATCCAGGATGGGGCCCACATCCTCCTCCCCTGGGCTGGGGGTTGGGAGCTGCCTGCAGCTGTGCTTGCAGCTGTTGGGTGCTCAGAGTCAGTGCAGTGGTCTGCCAGGGCAGTGGGGAGGCAGATCTGGTTGTTGCTATATGGCACGGTGTGTGCTGGACTTGCTGTGTGCCCCACACTATTTCCCCCAAGGCTGCATCTTTAAACCCTGAAGGGGAAGGGGAAGGGGAACTATAGAGTCTGGATGAGTGTGGACAAAATGGCCAGCGGGGCACCTATGGAAAACCCTGGAGACCCCTTATTTCAAAGTAACTACAACTGCGCTGTGTACACACGCCCTATTTTGACATAACTATTTCAGAATAGGCATTATTCCTCGTAAAATCAGGGTTATGGATTTCAGAATAAGACGCCCGTTAGTTTGAAATTATTTCGAACACTCCTTTTGTTATTTTGAAATAATGCTGCTGGGTAGATGTGCCCTTCAGTGTCCAAAGAGAGACCAGGGTCTGTGTTTCCAACATTCTAAAGTATTTCAAAGAATCATTATTCAAGTAAGCTAAAATTTTGGGAACTACTGGAAGGTTTTGTGCATATTCTCATGAACTTTAGCATGGCTATAGTAACACTATACAATCTCCTAAAGTGGCATAAATTAAAGAAGTACGTATAAAGTAAGTATTAAATATCCCCTTTTTGCAGGGAGAAAGACAACAACAGACAAGTTAAATGACTTAATTATGATCACAACAGGAGTCAGAATTAGGATTAAAAGTAAGGGAGCTTGCTTCTGCATCACAGGTGGTCTTTCACATATTGAGCACTCTGTCCTTGGGGCTGGAGGTCATACAGTCTGCTCAGCAGAGGAGCTGATTCAGTTGCAGAGCTTAATCTGAAAAGCAGCTGCTACCTCAGCTCTAGAAGCATCTGTAGCAGCGCTCATTGTGCTTATTTGCTTTTACATAAACACATACCTGTATCCATTTTACATACAAATCCCATTTTTTCTCTGCAGGGAGATAATTGCCATGCTCCATCTGTAGTCCTCAAAGCAATACAAAAATTCCCTTTGAGATTGTCCAAGTCAGGCTCTCTGATGCCCCAGTTGGAATAATTTAAGGGAGAACCATCACGCCATGCTACTGTGTTATCTAAGAGCAAAATATATATATATTTATATTTAAATACTGTGAGGTCTGTGTAATTTGTGTTTAAATATGTGCTGAATAGCAAAGAACGAGGAGAGGGCAATTGGATAGGGTGAGTCTGGAGAGCCGACTCCTCAAAAATATGGGCAAAATTATCTCCTCTGATATGTACTGTAGGAACTTCTTTTGTTCTCTCCATCTCCAATTGGGGAAAGCATTCCTATTTAGGAAACCACCTGCATGTCTCCTGAATATGGATGGATTTTAGCACATTCATGAGCGGTATCTTGCCTGCTAGGAGTTGACCCAGATTGAGAAACCTGCCTCTCACAACAAAAACAGTGCCGTCCATTATGAGCAGTTAAGGTGCGGGCAATGATGCTGGGTGTCTGAATTCTGGGGAGTAGTGTGGTTGGGGATGTGGAGCAGGAGGGAATCTGCTCTGCAGTGACCATACATTCTGCCCAGGAAATGAATAAGGGTATTATTCGTCCCGTGAGCCAACTACTATAGTGGGATATAAGCCAGAGAGTTTCCACAGAGCAGTCACAGCTTAAACAGTGACAGATAGCACTTTGTATTTACAGTGCACTCTAAACTGACAAAGACTGCTGGGATAAAAGTTGAGTCGGTACATGGTTGTCAATGTCAAACTAAGAAATGCAACTATGTTGTCTTATTTATGTATTCCATTACTTACTGTCTGCAACAAACTGAATGTTCAACCAAATCTTTTGGACAGAAGAGCCAAAATGGTGCAGTTCTTCCAGAATGAAAACATTTTCATCTTCATCTTTAATAGTTAAGAGATGAGATCCTGTAGATGGAACATTTATACCAAGTTTTTTCATTGTTGATCATGTTCAGAACATAAACTCTATTCTCCTAGTTTAGATTTTGGGAAAACATCTCCTATTGTATCCCCAGTTCACTTTTCTCAAGATAACTGCATGCAACGCCATGCTCAGGATGTCCCGAAAGAAAACTGATGTACTTTAGAACATTTGTTGGTTAGTTTAGTTAGCTACAATATCATAATCTTCACTCTTGTCTAAAACAGGCCACTATTTCAAAACAGAATATGTGACACTTTATTGCTGTAAAATAACCCATAACAGATTACCTTGCTTTTTGCAAAATACATTTGCCATATCAAAACTGGTACTTTCAAAAACTGTTGAAAAACTGTAGCAATTGCTTTTAAATTTTATCCAGGCCACATTTTCTTCTGAGCATAAGCCTCTGGATTCAATTAGTTTCTTTTCTGTGACAAAAACAACATTGCAAGTTTTATGCAATCACATCATAAACATTCCATAAATCATTTTATAGTAATACTAGCAATATTTTTACCTTTTAGAAGTATGCATGTAAACTTGTTATATTTTATTGTATTATGTATGTTATGGAAAATCTTCATTGTAACAATTATAAAGAAAAATGGAAACTTGAGTCACCCATGTTTAGAACTATTTTTTCCCTGAGCTAATCCTAAACCCAAATAAAATATTATTAAGGGATACACTCACAAAATAGATAGTCATTGGGACTGATCCTGCTGCCCTTCCACTCTAGAAATTAGCTCACTATTATACATTATTTAATATTTTAAATGGAAAATAAATATCATGCAACTCCCATTGAAGCCAGCAGGAGTTCAATGGCAGCAGGACTTGGCCCTTGAATAAGGTAGTGTGGACTTGTGTTGAAAGAATGTTTAAAGGACACTGTTTACTACAGCAAAAGATTCATCAGAGATAGTACCTTTAATTAAATTAAAAACTGCTAATTAGTTTTGTATCTTCACTTTGGATACATCACCTTTAGTATATCATTGGTGTTCTTAAATATGTCCTTCTTTCCTTAGCAGTGTGCTATCATTTATAATTATAGGCAGATAGTAAAAACAGGACCTCAGTTTCTGGTCTTACGCAAAAACAACCTCACATGGTAAATTGCCCAAAACCCTATTTAAGGGCTAGGATATCCATGCAATCATTTAAAACAGTGGTTTGGATCCAGGCAATCTAGACAAGAATTTACTCATTTCTAATTGATGACCACCAAATCATCCACGCCAGAGAATTTTATTAAAATGTATTATACTTCATGCTAAATCTATTCTTAAGCCAAGAAATCTAACTGGGGTGACCTACATCCCAAGCGAGTATGCTATAAAGGGACCTAAAAGTTATGAGGTGTAGCAAGCTGCTGCTCATTTTGTGTAATCAACCTTAAGGTGGCTTGATTTGATGCTGGAGGTCTGACCATATTTACTGGATAGAGTCTGGAAGTAAAAAAGGCAGAGGAATGTCTATCTTCCTGCAATTAGTGCATGACTCGGGGTGTAAGAATTAGAACACTGGCATGGGCTGTAGTGCACATGCACAGAGGAAGAAGAGTAGGTGCCCTGGGAACTTTTATTGCAGTAATTTAGATACCAACTGTGTGTAGGTGCCTACAGAACTTGGTGGCACCTCAGCAGTTCTGTGAATCCTAGTGGGATCTGATTCTGGGAGTTAGTCATCAAAAGCAGATTAAGTCCTCTTGTCGATCTAGCCCTAAATACTTACATATTTTTATGTTATAATAATCAGTATTCAGCTATAAGCCAACATACTTCTGTTCACATACTTCCACAGTCAATTAAATTTGTTGCTGCAGAGTTTTAATACAAAGCCAAACAATGACTTACCAGTTGGTACATGGCAAATTGCTCCTTGTAGAAGTCTTTCACAATTAGCACTTTCCCACTGTCCATTAATATCAATATAAACACAGCTGCCCAGTGACTGAGACTCCTCGTCTCCCCAAAAGGTAAACAAAGACTTTGTACCATCTGACCACTCAAAATTAAGCCCGCTCTGCCAAAACAAATTTAGGATTATTTCTCTTTTTCAGTTACTATAACATAAGTGGCTTCTTTTTTTTCTGCTATCTTTCCATGGGCTGGCAAATCTGGTGTTTCCTCTTCCAAAACAGGGTCCTAACTAAATGATGCAGACATAGTCCCAAAGATCATTACTATATCATTCTGTGAAATCCTCATAAACTACTAACTGAACTCCTGTGGCAACTGACCATGAATAAGGTCATTATCTGGAGCATAAGCATACCAAGAATGAAGCTAAAGCCACTTCAGTGGTAAGCTTACAAAAGCTTTTTTGCCTGTGAATATTCTTCTCTCTGCCTTTAAGCTTCCTTTCAGTGTTGGGACTCTGGCATGTCACCGGTGTCGCATCACGCAGTGCTGACCCCACACTGACTACAGCTGATTTTAATGAAGCTTCTATGTTGGGTGACAACTAGAGATGAGCCAAAGCTGCATAGTTGGGTTTTGCTTCAGGATCTGAACTTCCCCCAATTACACAGGTACTCAACTTGAGGTTTTTGTTGCAAGTTCATCTCTGTTTACCAATTACAAGTGAATTGGCATTTCCTTTTTTTTTTACAGCTTGTTGCCTTGTTACTGTAAAAACTAATCTACAATATCACATTCATACACACAGACTCCATTACGTACATCTGAGGTAGACAGCCCAATCCAGTGGGCATATCCTAGTCTGTTTACAATAACAGTGAGGAAGGCTTGGTGATACTGATCTGTAATGCTGACCAATTCAGTTCCATTCGTCAGGCAGGTTTTTAAAGCAGCAAACCAAGTCATATTTCCACGTATTAATTTATATGTTCTGCTTCCATATTCTAAAATATCTGGTACTGGATACATCTCAGATGCATCTATGGCATGACTGGACATATCTGCAACAATCAGAAAAAAAGACAAAATATCAAGTATTTCTAGTATCAAATATTTTCCTTTAATAGACAAGGGTTTAATACATTAACAGTTCTCAAAGCAGCATGGCTATCCTTGAAAACAAATGTAAAAATCCCAAATCTGTTAGACTTCCCTGAGATAATATCAATACACACGATGCACTTGTGCACACACACAACACATGGCTCTTGTCTGAAATCACAGCAAGGTCAAAGATTGAATGGCCATGGAAAATGAATAGATTCAGTACACAGAGAGGAAAGCTTTCTATCAACTTTCAAACTTTGAATTTCAAAAAGAATTCAAATGGGAACTAATGCCAGTGGGTCTCAATCCCATATACTCAGACAGAAACATGAACCAGCTTGGTGATTCTGTTTTACAGTGATGTTTTCAGTGCAAATTCATTACCTACCTGTTTAATGGGGATCACCCTTATCTCCCACTGGACCGAGTAGCTGGAGCAATCCAAAGATTTGTTTATCTGCTTATCGTGGTAAGACAACCATGGTTTTTAATTGTAAAAAAATAGATACTTTGCACACCATGAGTAAGATATATATACAACTGTGAAGTCTATCTTTCCAAGGAGAGAAAATTATGCATGAGCAATCTCAAAGTCAAAGATGAGTCCAAATAGTACAAAGACTAAGGGATGACTTCAAAAAGTAGCTGTAAAGAGCATCACGTAGCCTATGTAGTATCTCACTGATTTTGTCAAATGGATAAAATGGTAACAGAATCAGAGGAGAGAGAGAAGACCAACTGCAAAAAACTAAAAAAAACTTATAAGCCAAATCTGTTGGTAGGAAGAATTTAAAATCAGAAAAATGTGAATAATAGGGAATTATTTAAGAACTCGCTATTGAATACCTACAACCAAGGAAGAAGATGAAAATGCCAACTTGTTTAGGAGAGAAATAAAAGCAGCTATAAAAATAAAAACATTAATATAAAACAAGTAGCATTTGTGAATGTCATTAGTATAAAACAAGTGGAAGAAAGGTGTGATGCTGTATGTAATATATAGGGCACTTTATTATATTTTTGATACTGATACTATAAAATAGCAAGAAATCTGACTGGGTAAGTGTGTGAGGTATATAGGAAAATGTTATAATTTGCTAAATATGATAATCTTGTTTATATTTTTGAATCACATTTGTGTGATAAGTTACAGATATAACATATATATCTATATTTCCAAATTTGTGCTGTGTTTCTGAGTGACACCCTGTGACAGCAAGACAAAGCTAATTCCCAAAATGACTGGCAGGAGGCACCATGCTGGTCAGCCAAACCCCATGATATACCCCCAGACAGATTGGCATCAGCATTGTCTAGCCTGTTTGATGGCACATCAAGGGTTAACTTTTTACAATGAGCCCATTGAAAGAAAGTAGGAGATACACCTTATGAGTCAGCCAGGTATGTAGTGTGTTTATGGCCTGAAGTCTAAGTCTATGTCTACACTGCACTTCTTTTGCGCTGAAGTCTAAGTCTATGTCTACACTGCACTTTTTTTGCACAAAAGCCTATGGAAATGAAGCATGGATTAGCATATTGCTGAGCTTCATTTGCATAATTGATTAGGAGCCGTTTTTGCACGAGAGGCTTTTGTGCAAAATGGAGCTGTGTAGATGGCTTTTTTTTGAGCAAAACCCCCGCTCATGCACAAGAGCCATTCTTCCTGAAAAAATGAGGAAAACCGTCTCTTGCGCAAGAGGGGTTTTTTGCGCAAAAAGGAGACAGCTACACAGCTCCTTTTTGTGCAAAAGCCTCTTGCTCAAAAATGGCCACTAATTAATTATGCAAATGAAGCATGGCAATATGCTAATCCATGCTTCATTTGCATAGGCTTTTGCACAAGAGTGGTTCAGTGTAGACATAGCCTAAGACTCTTCCATGCTGTGTGCTGTAAAGCTTGTGTTTGGGACACAAGTACAAACTACAGGACAAAAGAATATAAAAGGCCATCCAATCTGTAACTGGATTTCAAAGGGTCTTGAGAACCAGCAAACTCCCCAATACTGCTAAGAACCTGATATATGGACTTTGAAGTCTCTGTATGTATCTGAGTGCTTTATCATATAACAATCCGCTTCTCTTTCTTTCTTTCTTTCTTTCTTTCTTTCTTTCTTTCTTTCTCTCTCTCTCTCTCTCTCTCTCTCTCTCTCTCTCTTTCTAATAAATCTTAAGTTTTAGGCAGGTTGGCAGTGTGGTATTTTGGGGTAAGATCCAAACTAACATTGACTAGTAATGTGACTGATCCTTTTGGTACAGTGAGTTTTTAAATAACTTCTCACTGTATTAGACCTAGTGCTGATTAGGAGTCAGAGAACTGGAATACGATAAGGGGGGGGAGGGCTGTGTGATTTTTTTAAAGTTTCTTGACAACCAGTGTGTGGGATCAGAAGCACAGTTTGTGACTGGTTGGTGAGTTTAACTTCAGTGTTAACTATCCGTTTTGGAAATATTTACTCCCTCTTTTTCAGTATGCCCTGACCTTAGCATTCTCAGTGAGGGCTGCCCCAAGCATCCTAGGTCACGAAAGGGGATAATAGTTTATATTAATGAATGTAAATCAGAATCCCAGTCAAGATAATGGAGCAACTGATATGGGACTCAATTTACAATATTTTAAAAGGGGGTAATAAAATTAGTGCCTATCAACATGGACTTTTATGGAACATAGATCCTGTCAAACTAGCTTGATTTTTTAATGTGCTTGTAAGTTTTGTTGATAAAGGTAAAGGTTGATATAATACTTAGACTTCTATAAGGCATTTGATCTATTATCACATGATACTTTGATTAAACAACTAGGACAATACAAAATTAACATCTGACCTGGGGAAAAACTCCAGGTCAAATGTATATTTCTAAAGTTTATCTTTTTTTCACTAAGAAAAGTTGGTCCATCAAAAGGTATTACCTCAGCCATCTTATCTCTCTAATAAAATTAACACGTTAAAAGGATTAAAAGCTGGCTAAATGATAGGTCTCAAAAAGTAATTGTAAATAGGGAATCAAATGGGAGTATTTCTAATGGGGTCCCATGGGGATCCATACTATGCTATTTAACATTTGTATTAATTACCTGGAAGAAAACAAAAATACGACTGATAAAATTTGCAGATTATACGAAGATTGGGCAGTGTTGAATAATGAAGACACGTTACTGCTACAGAGAGATCTGGATCTCTTGGGCATAAGTAAATAACATCTATTTCAATACGACTAAATGTAAATGTATACATGTTTACATCTAGGAACAAAGAATATAGGGCATAACTTATGAGATGAGGGACTCTCTTTTGGGAAGTGATAGCTCTGAATAAAGGTGTAAGGTTCCAGGTAGATAACCAACTGAACATGAGCTCTTAGTGCAATATTGTGGCCAAAAGGGCTAATGCAATCCTTGGACACATAAATGGGAATCCTAAGTATGAACAAAGACGTAATTTTACCTCTGGATTTGGCACTGGTGTGACTGCTGCTGGAACACCAAGTCTAATTCTCCTCAATTCAAGAAGGATGTTCTTTAATTGCAGTGGATTCAAAGAGCCAGAAGAATGAAAAGGATTAGACAACACAACTCAAGAGAATGACTGACTCAAGGAGCTCAATCTATTTAATTTTAACTAAGAGAGTTAGGAGGCAATTTGATTACAGTCTGTAAGTATCTACATTAGGAAAAAATATTTAGTAGTGGGTTCTTCAATCTAGCAGAGAAAAGTAAAACATGGTCTAATACAGGCAGCTTTGTTAACTTAGCTCCAGCTCTGTTTAATGTTAAAGTGAAAGGATGGAATATTGCAATGCATGGTGATGTTAGTATTAGGTAAAGCCTTGTAATAGATAAAAAGAAGTTTAATGTTGAAAGACTCTGTAATTTTGTTAAAGTGACTAGAAATACCCTTTGTTCTATGCTGCAGTTGTGTAAACGTGTTGTTTGTGTGAATGAGAACGATAAGATTTTAGGAGAGATAAATGTGAAGATCGCTACATGATCAGATGGTCAGAGGAGGGGCCAAAGACTCAGAAGCATCAAATAATTATCAACTAAGCTAAAGCACACTGAAGACGCAAACTGGACTGAGGCAGATTGACGAACCCTGAAGGGTAGGATGAACCCCTTAATAGAGAACCGATAACAACATTTTCTGGAAGACAACAACGGGTCGTCAGCACACTGATACCAGATGACTGAGAACAACTTCCAGATTAACATATGTCGCAGAAAGACTAATTGTGATGCTGAGTGACTGATTAAGGCCTGACAAGGCAAAATGCATAGACTCACATGGAAGGAAAATCCTCCAAAGGATGGGGTGTCTTGTATGATTCTTCGGGTTCCGTCCTGCTACAACTATGGAGCATCAGTCCAGATTGAGAAGAACCCAGCACCTTCATCGTACTCAACCTATCTGGCCAATTGGTTGGGCCGAGCAACAGGCTGGTAACTATTCCATCAACAGGACGAGCGCGTGCGCGCGTGTGTGTGTGTGAGAATGCATATGCTGCTTTGTTATATTATCAATAAATGCAGCGTGTTGCCTTATCCCCTGAAAAAGATCCTGTATGCTTCTTTTAGGCATAACAATGGGGCTCAATATGCAGCCTGCAGGTAGGATCCTTTGAACATGGCCTCCACTGGGAATACACTTCACAATGGCAAGTCAACATAATGGTCTTCTGTTGATATGCGTTTTAGTAGTTAAATTCCTGGACTGTCATTGCTCATTAAACGTGCTGTCATATGCGTGGAAATCAGGTAAATATTGCATTTTTTTAATATCAGCAGAACTGACTTAAATGGGGACTGCATGTTGTGTAGTCTTGCCTTAATCTTTGTATTCATGCCCATAAGTGTGAAAGAAGCTATATATTTACCTGTATGTGCAACCACACTTAAGTTGCAGCCCTCAGCATGTGCTGTGACTATCATTGTGGCCCCTTGCAAAGTTGAGTAGCCCCGATCTAATTGTTAGAAGTTAAAGCTAGATATTTTCAGACTGGAAATAAGATGCAAAATTTTAACAGTGAGTAATTAACCACTGGAACAATTTACCAAGGGTTGTGGTGGATTCTTCACCATTCCCAATTTTTGCAGAAGTTCTATGCCTATATTATACAGAAGGTCAGACTAGAAGATTGCAGTGATTCCTATTGGCTTTGGAATCAATGGGTGAAAAAACTATATTAGGTCATCTAATCTATCTTCCTGTTTATATGGACTGTTCTCTACAGTACTTTACAGGTCTTTTCCAGTTTTACAGGTCTCACACTGTATCTCATTGTCAGTAGTTTCTTGTGATGCTTAGTGTAAATTTCATACAATTACTTCAAGATATGAATCACCCATAATACCCAATTCTCCCTACGATCTAAGATATGCAATATATAGTCAGAAGAAAAAAAAACAAAGATATTACTCTTGGTATTATTCATCTACTAATGTTTCTATATACAAAATATTACAGATAAGTTAGGCTGTTGATGTAAAACCATGTAAGAGGTCATATATATTACATTCCAGGGATGATCGATATAGTTTAATTGAATAATTGTGTAACCGCATGAAATCTTAGCGGCTACACAACTATTCAATAGTCTCCGGAGGAGGAGCTGGCAGCTAGTGCACTCCCAGCCTCACTCCCTGGTAGCCCCCTGCACCCTATACTGCTTCCTCTATATCAGAGGCAGCAGTGCAGGATGGAAGGCAGGAGCCGGTCAATGAGCAGAGTCAGTTTAAAAACTAGTTCCCCATGCAGATCGACTGCCTGCTGCCCTGTGCTGCTGCCTCTAATAAAGAGACAGCAGCGGGCGGTAGCGGCAGCCCCTGTCTGTGGAGGGTCCAAACTCCCCATGGATAGAGGCTGGTCCACGGAAGCAGCTCCTATTCTCAGGGAGTTTGGACTCCCCCATGGACAGGAACTGCTGCCATAAACCAGCCTCTGTCTGCGGTGGGCCCAGGCTTGCCATGGACAGAGGCCGGGCCCAGGGGAGCCGGGGCAGGC